CATGCTTTTCTTAACCCAGCTTGAACTGCATTTCCTTTACAAGGCCATGTGTTATCCTGGCTTGAACCGCTTACCCCCAAGACAAAGACCGTGTTTGTATCTGTACTCAAAATCAGCTCTGCTCATTCTCCACAGAAGAAGAAGGAGGGGAAAAAAGGACAAAACAGAGGCCAGGCAGTGAACTCAAGGTTATCTGAGCCTGGTGCCACAATGAGATCTCCAATCCTCGTGTTACCATTCTGGCCTCTGCTCTTCTTCTTCTTCTTTGGACAGATTAAGGCTGAGCCGTGAGGCGTGGCGCGAGCGCACACAGCTTTGCCCTTTGTGTTAACAACCACGTGGAATTGTACGCCAACTGCTGTGTATATGCAGCTCGTGTCAGGCAGGAAGACTGGTCAATTGTAGCTTGACGCGGGACAATACTGTACCAACAAAAGGAAATTTTTCCACATTTCGCTCCAGTCCCCGAGGTCAGAGCTGTAGTTATAATGGGTGTAATTGTCTCGGATTGGCTTTGCCATCAAAGTGTATTGCACCAGGGTTCGCTTTAAATGACAAAACATCAAAGTGATTTAAATCCACAATTTGCAGTCGATCAGCAGGCCCTGTTTTCATCCAATCACTCAGCCTTTGAGCACGTGTGTGTCCCTTTGGTGCAAGCTGTCAATGCTCCTAATAGTTACAGCAACAAAGCAACAAGAGTGTGCTGCATCTCCAATATATTGCTTTCTCCTCTCTCTCTCTCTCTCTCTCTCTCTCGCTCTCTCTCTCTCTCTCTCGCACACACACACACACACACACACACAATCAATATAGCCAAGTTTTGTAGGAGGACAGGATATGCCTCATCAATAATGGAAGTGTGTTTGGTGAAGAGCGCGAGGCTTGATTCTTCGCCTCATATCTCGTTTGTGTTTTGCTAGCCACGCTGTGACTAATAACCAGCCGATACCCAGACTCAACCATCACAAAGAGGCAGGAGAAAACACACACACACACACACACACACACACACACACACACACACAAACACACACAAAGACAAAGACATGCTGCAGATGAACAGTCAGACACTCAAGAAATCCACGCACACAACACACAAACAGCATCTATCTACCATTTAGCAGCAGCTCATAAAATAACACAGGTGCCTCCGGCCAATTTGCCAGACGAAACACCCCAGTTTGACACAAAAGCCTCATAAGCATGCATCCTCACACCAAACACACATACACGCATCCAGGATCCTGAGGCACAAACACACTCAGACACCCAGGAAAACACACAAATCAAACTGGCAACTGAAACACTCAGATAAACAAGCATGAAGCAACATCTTCACATGCATAAATTCACACTAAGCAAGGACCAGTGTAGGATTTTGGACATCTGTATCAGCACCGATTATTTAGAATATGAATGTTCAATAAGCAACACATCTATTGATATGTATATGTTCATATAATCATTCAATTCAGAGGTTGAAATAAATCTCTCAATCATGAGAAGGGGGAGAATGCACAGTAAGGCAAATGATACCCGCAGCACACAGCTATTGCTCACCATGAAATGTGTTTATTAATATTATCTTTATAAAGCCGCGACTGTGGGCTCTAGATCTCTGGATATTTTTACACCATCTTTATCCACCGTGACAGCTACAAGACCACAGAAGAAGACATGCTACCACCTGACAAGAGAAAAGAGGTGTAGTAGCAGAGTGGGCCAAGGTGAAGTGAAAAGTGTGAAAACTGAGGAAAATATAAAAGTGCTGCTTTTCGGGAGTGTTGGTCATGTCAACACTGGCACAACAAATGTGTGTGGCAGAGGGATCCACTAACGCCAACATGCATCTCACCAGTGCTGGTTAAGGGGAGACACTGGGAGGCACCTTTTCGGTTTTCTTGTAAACAAACATGAGCTTTGTTTGGCTACACACAGTGACACTCACCATGACGTGTTGTGTGTATTTTTGATGGTTACCAAATTTTTAAATCCAACATTGTTTATGAGCTTGCAATCTTCTTTCTCCCTGCCATTGCTGGCACACTGCTGCATATCTTGCCACGTTACCGCCACCTGATGATCACTGGAAAGGCGCCATAATGTAGGGCTTTGTATTGCCTCACATACATACGCGTGTCCTTGTGGGCCATGTTTTTCACCAGTGGATTTTGAAGCTAGGCCGCCCGCCTGATACAAGCATCGGGAAATGTTTTTAAAATGTATTCTTAATATGTTTTTTGAACTACAGTAGCCTAGATAGTAAAGAAAAAACCCTGCTAGCATTACAATGAACGGCCCACACAAGTGCGTGGGCCAACACACACACAGCACAGAGCCGCCAGCCTCTGAACTCACAACAGCTGCAGCTACAACAGGGAATTCAACCCAAGTCAACGTAACGTTAGAGCAGTGGTTCCCAACTAGTTAGTCTCTATATACAGACTCTACATTCAGTGAATAGGCAAACCCCGGAGATCTTGCCTCTGGAAGAAGAGCGGAAGAGCCCTGGTTTCCGGTTGTAGGCTGTTTGTAGTCCGCGTGATATTGACCAATCACGTTTGAACCAGCTGCAGTTGTTGCCAGGTTAAACGGTCCGTGAGGTGAACTAACGAGGCGGAAAATAATTGGCGTCACTGCAAACTCTGAATCCATCGCAATGGTTCAGCATATTTACTTATATATAAACGGAAGTCAGAAACGGAAATTGGCCTCCTCCGCCCAAATCAAACCGGAATGCCAAAAAATCGGGGGTCTGCCCCCAGAGGCTGCATCGCCATCTGCTGGAAGTCAGACGCCGAATACAGCCGATGGGTTCCGAGAATGCCAACTAGTGGGTCCAGGTCCAAAAGTGGGTTGCGGGTCCATTCTGAATGGACTGCAAGTGACTCAAGAACATGTCAAGTTTGTAAAAAACACACTGTATTTTGAAGTACAGTGAATTTCTGGCACAGAGCTTTTATTTTGAAGTGCCATTTCCTGCTGTAGGTTAAGTGAATAAGGGATAGCTACTTAACAGAGGCAGCAAACTAGCTCGACAACACAGTCAAATGCAAGTATGACGCGGAATATATTAAACTGCATGGACCTTGAACTAATAACTGAGTACAAATCTGAACCCCCTGGCTCGACCGGTTGGGAACCACTGCGTTAGAGTGTTTGATGTACATGGTTACGTTACAGTCAACGCTAATGTGTCAGCAGCAAACATCTGCATTTACAATGAGACAATGATGTTTCGTTGACTATGAGGAGTCAAAACTTCGTAGCAGGTCAACTCATGTTACCAACGTTAACCACTTCCTTACTCCACTTCAAGCCCTATGGGACATAAGGCTACAATGAGATCTCGCCATCACATTTTGTCCCTGGCAACCTTTTTTTAACCAGAAAAAAACTCTTGAGATTAAAAAATCTCCTTTTCAAGAGCGTCCTGGCCAAGACAGGCAGCAACACAAGTTACAGACAACACAGAACAAAAATGTAAAGCTCTACAAAAGACAACATAAAACACAAAATAAGATTACTACAAAGAAAAGCCACAAAGTATGTTAATATATACTAGAAATGATCCATGAAAATGCAAAACGGCAACTACACATAAATACACAGACCAGCTAAGACACATGGTGACACTGACATAAAGAAGACTGTGTCCAAAAATCCTGCAACAGTGCTTTGAAACGGCCGAGAGGAACCGGTAGACACACCAGCTAGCAGGGCCGTTTCTAGCTTTTTGGGGGCCCAATGCAAAATTCTGTTTTGCCTCTTATTTCAATCACTCACGAATAGACACCAAAACTGCATCATATTTCATATACATATCTGATCAAATTCTACTTTTCAAATGTAAAAAAATTGCCCTCTTCAAAAAAGACACTTGGCCAGGCCCCGTCAAAAGATACTTTCCGTCTGGCCTAACTTCTCTGGGAACCCTGTGTGTAGAAGAGCAGCTTCATAGCACGACTAAAACCCCAGAGGGAACCTTTAAATAGTCGGAGCTTTCTAGACTCAAGACTTGTGTTTAGCGCCAAATATGCCTGTCATTTTCAACACCACATATAAACTGTCCAACATTAACAGTAAGGTTGTACCCACATCAGAATTGCGAGAGTATGCCAATTATTCAGCTTTGCAGGGCAAAGTTTAAAGCCTGCCAAGCTGTTATCCTGCCTCGCTCTGTCCACAGTGACGAAAATATATGAACAAAAGTTCAGTGAGTTGACTGACAAAATGAGGTGTGACTTGGTTACGTCTCGACTGATGCTTCGACTCACTGATGTTCGGAGGCCAGTCCGGGTCTAATCAGTCTGCACAAAGATACACAACACTGAGGGTCTATTTTTCCAATTTAATTTCCTCATTTTCAAAACTTCTATCTGCAAACTGTTTGTGTCTGTGACAACTTGCTGCCTCTGTCCGAGTCGTATGACCTGTGCTATCATAGAGTGCAGCTGCAGAGGCGGAAACCAAAAAAACAGCCTCCAAAACACAAATCACAGATGATGAGAGGCTGCACCAGACTGACCTCTCTGTGGGAAAAATAATCACTGCCAATGGCGATGTTTCTCTCTCTACAAACAGGAATCTCCCTCATGACTTGAGCCTGACAGAGAACTCACAGAGTGTTTGTACTCCTACTGTCTCATGCAAAATCTAACATTATAACATTTACTGGGAGAGGACGAGTGAAGTATTACCAGTACATCAAATGCATGTTCTTCTATCTGGCATTTCTGAGATGTGTGCTCTCTGCTTGTGGTTTCAGTGATCTTGTGCTTCTGTTCGCAACCACTCGTCCCAAAGTGATCTGCATCCTGCCGGAGGCATTATCACATAACCTTGTCCACAAGGGAAAAGGCAAAGTGTGTGCGTGTGTGTGTGCGTGAATGTGAGAAAGAGTGTGTGTGCATTCATGCATGCATCCATGTGTGATTTAAAACTATGTGAGCAAACTGCCAATGGGTACAGACAGCAGAGGGGCTTGTCTGGCTTACCAAAGATATTTGTGGAATGTCCTTTCTTGGCGAGGGGCTTCAGCTCGTTGTGACCCCAGCCGTACTGCCTGTAGCTGTCCCATGCATGCTTCATCATCTGAGAAGATAAAAATGACAACAAAACAGCATATTAGAAGGTGTGAAATCTCCAGCCTTGGCAAAGGAAGAGTATGACGTCACAGAGCCTGTAAAATCCTGTAAAAATCCTGCAACTCATGATTTTGAGATGGCTAAATAGTGATGTTTAAATCTGCATCATAATTTTGCTAAATGTTGATTGGTAATTAGGATGTTGCCATAATGTGATTTCAGTTATCTGGTTATCTGCTCAAGGCATGTTATGCAGGATTTATACTTCTGTGTCAAACTGACGCTGTACCCTGACGTGCACCTCCCCAGAAAAGTAACAACACTTTGCAGTGACACAGACCTCCTGTCTGTGTTTGTAAGCTGAAACCATTTCCCTCAGTGGAAACAAAGCTTTTATTTACTTTAATTTCACAGATAAGAAACAAAAAAATGTGACAAGACAATAAAGCCTCCACAAAAATAGCATTTTAAGTCTTGTGTGTGATTTATTTTGGCTTCATATGAGCAAAGGAAATCTGTGCTTGTGGCTAGGCTAATTCATACAATGTAAAATGCCACAGGCTTGTGCTAATACCGTTAGCATGTTACATTTTTTTCGTGTTTAGCGTAAGACACTTGGTGAGCCTTCTGAGTTGACATGGAGTCGAATTTGGTAATGTTTCCTTTGTTAAATGTTGCTGTTGTCCCTGGCTTCATATGAGTAGAAGGAAAGTCCGCTAGGCTAATTTATACAATGTAAAATGCCATAGGCTTGTGCTAAAAATGTTAGCATGTTGTATTTGTGGAGAAAATGTGTCCAGATAAAGACAAGTATTTGTCTGTGAATGCTGCGAGTTATAGTGAAGCTGATTTGTGTACTTGTGTTTGAAATTGTCTCTATTAAGCCATGTTTAATGTGTGTTTAATGTGTGTTTTGAACATTACAGCATGTAGCCTAAACATGTTCAGGTAGAAATCTGAAATACAAGTATGAACCTGAAAATAAGCGACACAGGTCCCCTTTGAGGCACCAACAAAAACAAACTGCTGAACAAAACATAATTTTATGAATTTGTACCTCAATCATCAAGATAAATAAAAGTAAACTGATGTGATTGCAGATTCCAGCCCCCCAAAAAATACATTTAGGTATTAAAGTTATCCCTTACTGTCAAAGTAGAAAAACGACTCCTGTTAAAAACCCTTTTACTTGATTTTAGGCCCTTGTTTGAGAACCCTCGTGCCTCTACCAACGAGTGAACTGAACCCAAAATGATTGATTTAAAATTAAGACTAAAGGGCAAACAAATTGCTAGACCAAAAAAAAAATACCCAGCACGCACACATACACATACACACACACACACACACACACAATCACTGGTGTAGCGGCTGAAGGGAGGTCATGACCCCAAACACTTTAATCTGGAGGATGATGCTATCGAATCAAAGTTCACCGTTTTGCCTGGAGCGTGATGTAAAGGGAAGTCTGCTTTAGACATTAAACAGCGGCCCACTCCCACACACACACATCACACACATATACACACACAGGTATGACAATAAACCCATTTAACACAAACTGAGGATATCTTTTGAAGCTCTTTCTTTGTATTTTGTGTTGGTGCATCACCTTCTCTCTATCTGCATACATTTGTCTACCGGATAGAACAAAATTCTATTCTTCACATGAGGCTGAAAGAGATCGGCTCAGGGAGGAGGATGAGGATAAAAAAGAGCAAGAGATTGTGAGATGAGCCCTGACATGCAGGCTGATGCTGAGAAGAGGCGCTCCAGGGCAAACAGAGAAGATGACACAGCCGAGGAAGGAGAGAGTGCCAGCTTTTACTGAAGCGCTGCTGCTGCTCTCTTTCAATTTCAGACTGGTTTTTTCCTCCTCCACAGCCCTTACTCAAGTGGCATCGACAACCTCAGAAAAGTACATTTCCTGTCTATGTGGTCGTGTCAGTCACTGTCTGCTTCTTTGGACATCTGTTGATTTCTGTCTCTATATTGTCTTTCTACCTGGCAGCTTTCCTATCTGTCCATCTGCCAGCCTCTCCATCTCTACATGCCTGTCAGCTTGTCACATCGGTTCACTGATGACCTTGATGATGACAGTGATGATGATGATGATGACTAAGTTGGCACTGATGCCCCGCATCCCACAGCACAGAGTTGTTCGTATTGTGTTTATTGTCTTTTATTTAACAATCTGAGACTCACATTGACCTAGTTTTGTCTTTTTTTTGGGGGGCAGGGGGTCTTAAGGGGCAGGTAGCAGGTGAACAGTATATGCCACATAGAGGTGGTGCACATCATCTGAAAGCAAGGAACCTAAGGATTAATTTCTAGCCATAAATCTGTAATAAACAGTGTGATGTGAGACTGCTACTCATCTTTTGAAAGTTTAAAATGTATAGGGGCTTAGAACATCATGATGGAAGTATATAATGGCAATTCCCATGCTCAATTATGCAGTAATTTTTGAGTTGGTACCATTTCTTCACAGTTTTGGTGCCAATTTTAAGCATTTTTTGCCACTTGAAAATTGGTTAAAAAAATGCCAAAAATCCCTCCAAAAAGCCTCATTAACAAACCAAGACCTTTTGGAGCACCACAGAAAAATCCATGCTATGACTGGGTGTCAAAGCCTTTTGACATTTTTACTGCTGGAAACCCCCATATTGTCATTTTACTTCTGAAAGCCATATCTTTTTCTGAATGCCCAGGGTCTCTAGTTTGTGGTTGTGAGGTTTCATGAGGCTGTGATTATCCTAGAGGTCACTATAGGTTGTTTTATACAGTGATGTCCATTTCAAAGAAATGGTCTCACTACAATGAAATGACTACTACTGAATTCATAAGAGTAGTGTTGCAATGGTAGGAGGTTTTAACAGTACGATTAAGTCTCAGGAAACATCGCAGTTTCACAGTATCACAGAATTTCTATTATTATCAGTCATTATGCTGATACTAATGCAAAACTAACTAAAATAAAGGGGAGATTCAACATCCAGTTGCATTTTTTTCGATTATCGTAGATAAGCAAATGTACACGGTTTGGTAACTGTTAACTTCTGTATCACAATATACCTTGAACCCAGTTTATCGCTGCAACTCTGTTTGTTCCACAGTTTTGGTTATAAACTTAAGCATTTTTCACCACTCCTTATTGATAAATATGTTCAAAAATCCCTCCAAAATGTCACAATAAAACATCAAGACCTTTAAAAACATCATAGAAAAATCCATGCTGTGATTAGCTATCAATAACCTTTGACATTTTGATATTCTCTGAATGCCCGGGGTCTCTAGTTTGTGGTTGTAGGATTTCATGATCCTAGAGGTCACTATAGGTCATTTTATAATGACTACTGCAGGGGCTAGCATCATCACACATGAATAAAATTGGACTCACTGAATTCACAAGAGTCTCAGCTTTCCAGTCAGACCTGATTTATGTATTTCCGTGACTGTTTAGGGACCCCAGTGTGCAGACATACTCAAATACAATAGGTAAAAATAACACATTTATTCTGCATGCAGCCCACATGGGACTAGCATAAAGTAAGCATGTCTGTAAAGGGGAAAGTCATGGGTACCCATCGAACCCATCATCATTCAGACACCTTAAGCTGAGAAGTCAAGGGACCTCTGTCAAGTGGCCACGCTGGTTTTCCCTCGCCAATATTTAGCCTAACTTTGGAGCATTATTTAGCCCCCTTTCCGAGAAGCTAGCGTTCCTTTGGTCTTCTTGTTTCATAGGATACTGGTATCACCACACTAGCTTTAAAACTCAGCTTGCTACAGCCTCTTAAAAACAGGAAGTCGGCTGGGATCACCGGTGGGTCTCAAAAGTTTAAGCTCCATTGTTCAACTCCAATATGTAATCCTTATCTGGCCCCATTTCCGTGTTTAGTTTTAGAGTTTTCCCTCAAAACAAAGTCTTTCCTTTTTGTGAACTGAGGGTCTGACACTATGGGGTTGTCACTAACCTCAAACCTCCCCTGAAACTACTTACATCATTATTCAAAAGCTCACTGGACAGTATTTGGACTGCAGTAACAGACAAAGACACAGTGCATGGTAGCAGGTAGAGCATCTCTGTAGCAGCAAATCTGTATCTGTGTGTTTGTGCATCTGTTCATGTGTAACTATTTTAAGTCTGCAGTATGGCGACAGATCCCTACGAGCTCAGTTTAAGAGAAATTATGTGTGTGCTGCACCAGGAAGGATAACAGAAACTAAACAAGCTATTAGCAACACACACACAGCTCGTGCCAGGATCTGAGTTGGGAAAAAAAAAAAAAAAAATGATAAAGATATTTCTGCCATTTTTCATGCTTTACTGAGGTACAGAGACATTTATGAAAGGGGAAAGAGAGGAAAGGACCTGCAGCAAAGGGCTGTGGGCTGAACATGAACATGGGCTGCTGTAACAAGGACTTAGCCCCAATAGCACACACTCTGTGCATGGACCTAGCCCACTGGAAGCCCTGTTTTGGTGTAATTTGAGCTGATTTTCCCTTTAATTTTTTCAACAACTGTAAAGTAAAATTACTTTTATTGGTCATTGTCAGGGCCATCCTGAACAGGATTACATTTAAAATTTTAGCAAACCTCTGACGCAAAACATTAATCTAATTCAGGGGTCTGCAACCTTTGCCATTAAAAGAGCCATTTTTGACCAAGAATAATTTGAAAAAATCTGTGTGGAGCCGCAAAACATGTTTGAGCCTTATAATCAAGGTAAATAGCCTATTAAGTCTAAATTAGCGTATACTAATGGTCTAAATAAGCATTTGTTAATATGTTTTACCACAAGGTGGACACTGTGCAGGGCACTATTTATGATTATTTGGTAGGGGTGTAATGGTACACAAAAATCATGGTTCGGTACGTACCTCGGTACACAAGTCATGGTTCGGTTTTTTCCAGTACAGTAATGAAAAAAATAGACAACTATTAAAAATCTTTTACTTATTGGTAACCTTATTAAAACATACCACCACAGCAGTTAACTCT